AGATATACTTCATTTGAGTATAGTAGGATCATGAAATTCTTAGTGTCTACATTTCTACTTTCAAAACAGGATATTAAAATGTGTGTTTTGGCAACAAAGCCAAGTTACACTTTGGGAATTTCAGGGAGACTGAATTTGTCCCAACAGTGCCACCTAAGATGCTAATGCCATTTGTATCTCAGTAGCACATAATGTTTCACACATTGATTTTTTTGTTTTGATCTCAAGATGCTTTGGATTCTGATTAGCTCAGACAGCTCTTTCTCCATCAAGAAACTGTATTTCGTTGGTTTAAAAAGGAAGTATTATGTAAGTGCCTTATCCACTTCATGTGCAAAATTACTAAATTTTTTTTTTATTTTTTTAACGATTCACTTTTATTTACACCGAAGTGTTTCCTTAAGCTCCTGCTGCAAATTAAAATTGCATTTCTCAGTGTTAGTTACATGGTAGTGGCTATTATGGGTTTGGGCCTCTCTGTTTTAGAAGGTCTTTATGCTCTGCTGCACTCTGGAACTATACAGCCCTAAATTACCTTAATCTCACTAGTCCACATAATAAGGATCAGAGTTAGTAAAAACTGTCCAAAGCAAACTATATATTTTTAATTAAGTGACATTAATTTGGATATCTTTATATCTATGTTTTCAAAAATGCTGAGATCCTTGCAATTGAGGTTTGGTTTACCCTAATGAGTTTACACTAATGAGTACTGGTTTGATTTATGCAATAGAAACAACAGCAGGAAAGCAGATACATCTTGTGAGATGGGTTCAAAGCATTTGTAGTGATGAAGTGTACCCTTGCGAAATAAACCCTGTCAGTGACTTAAAAACAGTGTAATTTTTCAGTTTTCATTTTATGGCAATTTCTTTCTTCATGCTATCATGAAAAGCTCTTTGCATTTGCTAGCATGAGAGATAAGATTTTTAGTAATAGGGAAGACCTGTTAAGAGTATCTTTAAAAGTTACTGTCTCTGAACTTAACAGGAGTTTTCAAAGATAGCCACACTTCATGGAGATGAATGTAATACTGAAGAAAACCATCGTTAACCTGCTCAGAGCCTTGTGATTGGATGTGTTATTGAATCTTTTGCCAAATTTGGCTTTGCAGGACCTGACTGAGTATAAATGGAATGATATAGTGAATATATTAATTTATGCTGAGATTTTCCAACATTGGTAGATTCATATACAAATCTGTTATGTGGAGAAATACTTGTACTTAATCTGCTGTTTTAATGCATAATATTTTAATTTGAAATATATGCTATATGTCCAAAGAAACCTCTTAGGACAGCAATAAAGGAAGAATCAAGCAACTAACATAGATGGGTAATTCTCTTTGTAAGAATATTCTATACAGATTAGTTTTGTTATTTGACCACTGGAGGACTTCAAAATAATTATAGCTAGTAATCTAGAATATAAAATGAAAAAAAAATCAGTTATCAATACTATAGAACTTGATTTCAGGCATCTGCATGAGGAAGGTTTTGAAATTAGAAAGATATATGTAAAGAGTCGTCAGCTCTCATTTCTTCCTCCAGCTACGTGGGGGCATGACACCCTTCAAACCACCCCCCCCCAAAAAACAATAAGACTCCTTTCTTTACTGACCAGTCCAAGGTGGGCAGTGAGGGTGCAGGAAAAATAATCTTCCTTTTCTCCATGATCAGTAAGAAGTTAAATTTACCTCTGTGATACCCCGACTTACAGGTTATAAAATCCAGCTTTTTAATGAGGTTAATTTTCTTTGTGACTTTGTCCTATGAGCCCTTATTTTCTATGTATGCATACTGCTGGCATGATGCATATACAAAAGCACATTAGCAGAGATAACACAAAATTATCCTTGAAAACTGATTTTCCCTTTTTCTTTCTTTATACACAGACATCACTCATATTCCTTATCTTCTTTGACTTAAAAAAAGGTATGTCCTTAAGGTTTCTATTTTCAGAATAAATAAGCATTCTTGAATAGCCAAACTGTTAAATTAAGTCCTTAAATCCTTAATATCTCCCCCTTTAAAATACAAAATCACTCATTAAATGTAGGTATAGCATAGCACAGGGAGGAAAAACAAATGATGTTGTAGCTGCAGTAAACATGATTCATTTGTACATTTTAGGACATCTTCTCCGTGTCAGTTTTTCATATTTCTCTTCTACTCCCCAAGTAACAAAATGTCACATGAAAAGGATCAAAATATTCCTTGCTGTAGATCATGGTGTGTATGTGTGGTGTGGGTGTAAAATATCACACTCACACCTTCAGGCGTTTGTTTTAAGAAGAAATCTAATGATCTTATTTTCAGCGGAATCAGATGTTCTTGAAATATTTTCTTACATCCTTTCAAGGCCGAGAGTATTTCAGTTGCCCCATTAGTTAGCACCAATGTACAAGTTTGCTTTTTGGGTTTTTTGTTGTTTTGGTGTGGGTTTTTTGTTTGTTTTTTGTTTTGTTTTGTTTTATTTTGTTTTTTTGGTTAAAACTGTCAGTGTTTGCACTGTGAATGCTATTTTCCAGGCATTCATTGCTCAGCATAGACTATAAATATTCGTTTTGGACTAACACTTGTCAGAAAAAGTCTGTGAGCAATTAGGAGTATTTATATTTTATTTGTATAAAGAGAACTTTTTTTGTGTGCTGTGCTTTAACAAAAGCATCATTGGCTCAAAGTATTTCACGGTGTTTTCATGATAGTTGACTTTAGATATTTTGGTAGAGTATGCATGTCAAAACATTTAACTGCAAATTGAATGCTATATGTGTATTTTAATTGCTATACATTTTTAAATGAGACATGTTAGATCACAGAGGCAGGAATTAGCAACTTTATGATATTTTCACATGTTGAATGAAACATAAAAGATTTAAGAAGTAATATCAAAGTGTCTGTTTTCTTCAAGTACTCTAGGCTTTCTGAAAATATGAGGAAATGGGAAATGTCAACACATGAAGTAAAATAAGTGAGGTACTAGAGCAGCTGTTATCTGTCAATAAATGTCCAAGCATAATTGCCAGTAAAGAAGACTGCAATTTGAGAACACGTGCTGATACATGATTGGAATCTCACCACGTGATCTGTTAGATGATAAAGTGTATTTCAGAATACTGTGCTCGCCTGTTAACTTAGAATCGGTCATATTTTTATTTTTCTACAAACAGTGACAAATATTTATGAATGTACACTAAATCTGGACTTCCTGACCCACTGTTGGTTCAGTTTCAATTCTTGTGTTAAGGATGTATTCGGCTCTGGGTGGTAGGAAACTGTGGAGGAGCACAGCCCAGTCAGTAGAGCCTTCAGGTTTACAACTTTCCCTCCGTTCCTTAAGAAATCAAACACAAAATTATAAACAAAAAACTTGAATTCTAAATGTGCAGTAGTCTTAGTCATAGTTAAAATATCATAGAAAAAATTTATGAGAACATATGACCAGGCAAATACAATGCAAGGATTGCTCCCAGGCCTTAGAAGGGCTCATGGAACGTAGAGGCCCTTAAGCTCGAAGATTACAGAAACTAATTTTCTAGTGATTATAATTATTCCTTTAAGTTTTCACTTTCTAGTCACATAAAAAAGTATTTTTTCTTATTTTACCACTTACTTTAGGAGTGCCTTTGCATGTTTTAACTGAAACTTGAATGTTATAGTCAATTCATTTATTCAGTATTCAGTGAATGATCATTTATTGAGCTGCTAATATTTATGAGATTTGGTGCCTGCTAATAGGAATGCAATGATATATATGGTCCTGGATGGAAGGTTTTAAAAAGTACACATATAACAATGTAATCATAAGAGGTAGGTATTGTCTATTTTACATGACTCAGACAGACCGTCTAGTTAGTATATAACGCTCCCCCCCACATTCTTATGATAACAAGTTTTTCTGTTATTTAAATTATTACTGATCTCCACCACTTTCCTTTTAGAATACCTATTCAATGAGATATAATCTAGTTATGTCTTTTAGGACATCTATTTAAAACATAGTCTAGATTCAGAGTTATATGATACCATGACCTTGCTTTATTGTACATCTAAGAAGAAAATTAATAATTTATTTTTTTAGAAGATAAACTAAATAATCCATTTGTAAAATTTATTTTTGCTTTAAATGCTTATTTAGATTTTACACTTATATGCTCAGTGCTTATTTTCAAGATCCAGTGCTTTATTTAATGTAAGATATAATTATCTCATTTACTTCCATATATGAATCAGAAAACCATACTCTAAAGGCATATATGTTGTGTTTTGAATAACTGAGAATAAAAGTGAGAAATTCTTAAATCCTACTTCAGGTAAACAGTGTAATTATAAAACAGGTGATAGCCTTGTGAAAATATCCAAGTTTATAAAGCAGATAATAAAATGGAGAAAAATTGCAGTTGTTCACTTTCCAAAATGATACATAATGAAAAGAACACTTTAAAGTTTTCACACTGGCCTCAAATTTTAGATACAAATTATACACTTGAAACCTGCTTTATTCAGGAAAATTCATATATAGTTAATTTAAAAGATTGCATTATAGTTCCCAAGAATTATACAGTTGTTTGAAGTCACTTTAGAATGGAGATTATAATTACTATGATCAATGCTTTTTTTTTAATTAAATATAATTTATTGTCAAATTGTTTTCCATACAACACCCAGTGCTCATCCCAACAGGTGCCCTCCTCAATGTCCATCATCCACTTTCCCCTCTCCTCCAACCCCCATCAACCCTCAGTTTGTTCTCAGTATTTAAGAGTCTCTTATGGTTTGCCTCCCTCCCTCTCTGTAACTTTTTTTCTTTCTCCCCTTCCCCTCCCCCAGTGTCTTCTGTTAAGTTTCTCAGGATCCACATATGAGTGAAAACATATGGTATCTGTCTTTCTCTGCCTATTTCACTTAGCATAATACCTCCAGTTCCATCCACGTTGCTGCAAATGGCAGGATTTCCTTCTTTCTCATTGCCAAGTAGTATTCCATTGTATATATAAAAAAAAACATGGAAGCTTCACAAATTTCCGTGTCATTCTTGTGCAGGGGCCATGCTAATCTTCTCTGTACTGTTCGGTTTTAGTATATGTGCTGCCGAAGCAAGCACTATGATCAATGCTTTTATTTTAAGTATGTGATACGATGGTGGGGTCATGTACATGTACGCATGAGACCAGGCCAAGTATATATGCCAAACTACTACCACTACTACTGCTGCTTCTTCTCCTTCTTCCTCTTCATCCTCCTCCCCCTCCTCCTCTTCCTCCTCCTCCTCCTCCTCCTCTTCTTCTTCT